CCTGTTCCTCCCTCCCACCCTGAAATCCCCTGATGTCCCTTCCCTGTGCTGTCCATGCTCCAGATGCCACCTGGAGATGCCCTTGGAGCATTTCCGTGACCTCCTCTGGATTTGCTCCAGCAGCTCCACACCCCCATGTTGGGGTCTCAGAGCTGGAGGCAGGTGGGGTCTCACCTGAGCAGGGCAGAGGGGCAGAATCCCCCCCTCACCTTGATCTGACCTGAATCAAAGGCAGTAAAACTTCCCAGGGCACAATAAATTCCCTGCAAACCAGACAAAGCCCTGGGGGCAGTCCCTGGGTGGGCTGGAGCCCCAAAGCCCCCCTGGGTGCCCCCCAGACTCACCCTCAAACTGGTAGTGCATGGTTTGGTGGATGCGCTCCGTGACACTGGCCAGCCAGTCCTGGAAGGACAGGGACACCTGGGACTCATCCAGCACCTGGGTACAGCCTGCAGGAGGGAGGGAGGGAAGGGATGTTGGAATGTCACCCCCCCAGAGCACCCACACACTCCCCAGGGGCGTCTGTGGGAGCCAAACCAGCCCTTCCTGGCTGTGGGGTGGTCTGTGCTTTGTCTCAGGGAAAAAGGGGAAAATGAGGGATTTGTTCCACTTTCCAGGCCAAAACTAAAGCTGAGAGAGAGAAAAGCACCAAGCAGAGGCTCCTGCCCTGGCACAGGGCATTGCCAGCATGGAGAGAGGGTTTCTCCACAGGGTTCTGAAGAAACTCAAAAGGACAGACTCTTCTCAAAACATCCCATGAAAACTCAAATAAATCATAGAATCATGGAATGGTTTGGGTTGGAAGGGATCTTAAAGCCCTCCCTGCTGATCCCACGGGCAGGGACACCTTCCACTATCCCAGGTTGCTCCAAGCTCTGTCCAACCCGGCCTTGGACACTGGCAGGGATACAGGGGCAGCCACAGCTTCTCTGGGAATTCCATCCCAGCCCCTCACCACCGTCTCAGGGAAGAATCCCTTCCCAATACCCATATAAATCTACATAAACCCAGAGTGGGCACTGCCAAGGGGGCCCTGGGTGCCCCCAGACTCACTGTGTCTCTTCAGGGAGGACGAGGCGACTGGTGGCTTCCTGAGGCTGCTCCTTCTGGGGCCGGGATGAGCCAGGTCCGGAGCCAGGAGCGGGCTGGTCACCTGTGTCCCTGAGGGAGGGGTTGTCACTGCAGGAGTCACCCCATGGGATCCCTGCCTGTCACCTCCTTCCTTGGGGCCCTTCTCCTCCATAACACCACCATGAGCATGGGAAAAGACCCCTTTGGGCCAGGTTGGGGTTGTTCCCAAGGCTCCACTGGCACCGACACAGCCGGATCCTAGTCCCTTGGAACTGCACTGCTGGGGGATTTCAAATCCCACCCAATCCTCGGCTGGATCCCAGTCCCTTGGAGGTGCTCCCAAGGGGATTTTCAGCTCCCACCCATCCCACAGACCTTCCCAGGGACACTCACCCGGCCCCACATCCTTTTTCCTCTTCCTGGCCTTGGCAGCAGCCGCCCCCCGAGGCCGTGCTGTGGATCCAGGGCCACAAACCAGCTGCGGGACCACCGCACCCTTCAGACCTGGGGACACAAATCCTGTCCCTAAAAACATCTCAGCCAGGGAACAGGGGGCTCATGTGCCCCCACAGGACCTCCCAGCACATCCTAAATGTTTGCAGGGGATGTAAACATTTAGGACATGCTCCGGACATGCTCCTTTGGGGAGACATTAAGGGGAGGGGGGATTTTATCCTGCTCCCATTGTGCCCTCAGGGGGGGGTTCCAACCTTTGGATGCCCAAGGACAGGGTGGGATGGGGATGTATGGGTGAAGCTTTGGGGATGCAGAATCCCCTTGGGGCAGTGAACCCCAGATATTGCTGCTGTGGGAGGGGTTCACGGGGAATTAACCCCAGAGGCTGCTGTGGGAGGGGGTTCACAGGTTCCAGCCCTGGAAAACAACCCTCAGCATGCCCTGAGCACCCAAGGCAGTGAATCCCAGAGGGATCTGCCCCCACCTAGCTCTCATGGGAGCACAGGGAGCTCCTCATTCTGCTCCCACACTCTGGGAACCAAGAGCTGGCTGCATCATGGTAGGGATCACTCCCCATGCAGAGGGACTGGGCAGGACACAAACCCAACCCCCAGGGTAGCTGCTGACCGGGAGCAGGTGTAAAGGCTGCTGGGAGGTGCCAGGGCCCGGGCTGGGGTGTCACCAAACCCTCAACACCCCCCAAAGCCCCCGTGTGCCCCCCCTTTCCCACCCCCGGCGTCGGAAGCGAGGAATTCAGCGAACTCCTGGGCCAGGCTCTCGTCGCTGGCGAAGGCGCAGATGCAGGCGAGGAAGTGGATGCAGCGTGTTGGTGGGACCTCTTCCTCCTCCTCCTCCTCCTCCTCACCCTTGCCGTGCCCAGCGCGGGGGCTCCGGCAGGCGCAGGAGAAGCGGTGCTGAGCGAAGCAGGCGTGCAGGTAGCCCAGACCGTGCCTCTGGCTGGCCTGGCACTTGACCACCAGCACGCTCCTGGTGACCCTCTGCACCAGCGGCCCCGTGGGCTCCGTCGCCAGCTCCCACAGGCTCTGCTTGGCCTCGGGGGGCGCCTGCAGGGAGCCCAGCACAGAGCTCTTGAGGGGCAGCGGCGTGGCCTCGGCCTGGCAGCCCAGTGCCAGCTTCAGGTGCTGGCACTGCTTGTCCTCCGCCACCGCCGTGCCACAGGCGGGTGCGTGGCAGCGCCCCGAGCTCAGCTGGGTGATGAGAGTGCCTTCGGGAGTCTGGATGGCGGTCTCGGAGACCCCCAGCTCCACGAAGCAGCGGGCGTGGTGCCCGCGGTGCCTCACGGAGTAGAGCTGTGCGGGGGAGCCGGTGAGGACGCGCACGGCGCCGGGGTCGGTGCCAGTGCCGGGGCCGGGTGGGCGGCGGGCGCCGGGCCGGAACACCGTCCCACAGCGCTGGTTCTTGCAGCTCAGCCCCCGCGTGCCGTTGTAGGTGCCACAGCGGGGGCACTTGCGGATGCCCCGCAGGGTGGCCTTGCCCAGGTCCGACAGGAAAGAGGGGGCTTTGGGCCTCGATGGCGGGGGGTCCATGCTCAGGGAGCTGGGAGGGCACAGAGGGGGGAAATGGGGGGGGAACAGATTAGTTGGCTGGTCACTGGTGGTGCCAGTGGTGTCCCAACAGTCACTGGGACACCCTGTCCGATCCCTGTGCCATCCTGACAGTCCTTGAGCCACCCTGACAGTCCCCATGTCACCCCAGAAAACATGAATCATGGGCAGAAATGGGGCAGGAATGAGGGCAAGGAATGGGGCAGGAACAGGGCAGGAATGGGAGCAGGAATGGGGCGATTCCCTCTTGCCCCCCCATGTTGGGTTTTGCACCAGTTTGGCCAGTTCTGAGGACCAGAACAGTGACTTCAGCCCCTCAGCCCATTCACCCCTCACACAGCTCCCTATCCCAGTGTGACACTGGGGGGGAGTGGGAGGGCTCCCCGTGACCCCCAGGAAGCCCGTGCCCGTCCTTGCTCTGCCCCGCGTCCCCTGACCCCCAGCCCGGGGATGTCTCCCCCCGGCCCCAAGGAGGTCTCTCCCCCGCCCCGGTACCTGCAGCCCCGTTACCACCGCCGTGGGCGCCGTGAGGGGGGGTCCCCACTTCCGCCATTCGCGCGCTCTTATTGGTCTGCCAGCACCACGTGATGCGTCGCGAGGGCTGCTGGGAGATGTAGTCCAAAGAGGGGCTACGGCCACACCAGGGCCTGGACTACAACTCCCAGCAGCCCCCGCGGCAAGAATTCACCACTTTCTCCCCTTTCCCCCCCAAAATTCCAACCTTTCCCCCCAAATC